AGTTCTCATTTTCCCTGACTTTCTAAACAAAAATGGGATGTAGATACAAGTGCATGTTTGTGTGCCAGAGAAAGGGCACACAAACATAAACATATCCAGTCCTTTTCTTCATGCACCTTCGAAGTGCTGCTTTTTAAAGGGCCAAACAATGAGTGAATGCCTTGCTGTTAGGGGACAGGAGGGAGGAAGGGATTATGAGATTGGCTTGAAAACTATCATGGAATATTCAAAATGAAGATCATGTGACTGCAGCAGCAACGCAGCAGAAGCCAATAGGAGTGAAACAAGAACAACTTCAACAAATTTTATTCCATCAGGAAAAAGGGATCCTACATTTTGGACAATTTTGTAAGTTATCAGTTTGAGGTAAATTACTAAAAAAACAAGCCTGTTGCTGCATAATACACTATTTCACCAACTGAAAGATAATCATGAGAGTATCAGTATTTGGATCTTTGAAAAGAAACAGGAAATGTACCATTGAAAGAACAGAAAGTTATATATTACAATTAGAATTGCCTTTCCAGAAGATAAACATTCAAGAGATGGTTAGTACATGAAAATGAAGAGAGAGAAAATGGCCACTTATTGTAGTGTCTCTACATTACATTCTGGATGCTTGATCACTTAGTACAACAGTCCCATGGTTTTCTCATCTGGATCCTTGAGGGACAGTTCTAATTGACTCCGTTTCTGGTTTCCCCTGAATACTTCTGCAAGATACCGGCTGCAGGATGCACTCAGGCTCTTTCCAGAAAACCTGCAAACAGGAATCTGAAAATTTGAGGTGGCAGGGCTGACGTCGCGATGAAACGACATGTGATTCTGGGGCTCCAGAACCAGCACTGATACCACTGCAGCGGGGGGTCCTTTTGGATCAAAACCATCCCGTACAGAAAGTGAACAAGAAGAGTGCAGCCTGTTGATACCAGGGATATTGCAAAAGAGAGAGCACCCTAGGAGGGGAAGAATTAAGAATATTGAAGACAGAAGAAGAATAAGCAGTGAAATTAAACCTGAAGTCAGAAGAATTGGTGTTATTTAAGTTATTTTTACTGATTTTTAATAAGGAACTTAAACTAATTGGACTGGACTTTTGCTACAATAATACAACTTTTAACTTTGATTTTAAGGAGAGACTTTACAATTACTATTATTCTTTTTGTGTTATTATCAGTTTTCCTTTTCTCCCAAAAAGAAACCTTTTATTTTAATCTGCTTGGACTTTTTTTTTCTCTTTCTATAACTTTAAACAGTGCTGATAACTAAATGTTTTATGCAAGACCACCACCCAGAGGCCTTTAAAAAAAATTTCTTATGGAAACTGGTGGGAATGTTTCTACCACCCATCAGGTGTTTTTATTAAGATAAAGAGAAGAGCACTGGATGGATGTTTTTACAGGTGTTCTTCTTGGAAAACAACTTTAGCAGTTGGAGATTGAAGAGTCAAGACTGGTGTGAATGGTGAATAGCATTCCTAAGAGATCTGGAAGGGGCGTGCATAAGTGCACCATTGTGCTTATCGTCCCTGTCCTATTGTCCCCATTTATTCGTACCTATTTCTTGTAATCTTACTCATGTTTATACTTATATCTATTATCTTCTAAGCGATTGACAAATCCAATAAAATAAATAAATAACTTTGTTATTAGATATTAGGCCTTGGACAGTGTGTGGTGGAAGTAATTTGTTTAATGACTTATTTGTCTGCAACTGGGAACTGTGTGGTCATCTGGACTTTGGTTTTGCTTTTGGATTATAAAATTTTTTTCTCTCTCTTCTTTCTTTTTAAAGAAGAAGGCCTGAAGCCTGGTTCTCCAACTTAGTTCTATTCTTTTTGTTGTTTTTTTCCCTTTTCCCTTTTGATATTTTTTTCTCTCTCTTCTCTCTCTTTTCTCCTTTTCTCCTTTTCTCTTTTTGCATTTTTTCTTTTTTCATTGGGAATTTTTTACTATTTTTTTAATTTTCCTCGCCTATTCGGTTAGGGTTTGAAGAACCTGAAGATATTTGTTTTGTGCAACACTTTTGATTCGGATTGCAATTAATCATTAATTAATCATGAAGTAATAAACTTCTTCTTTAAGTCCAAATTCCCAGCGGAGTCTTTGTGCTATGCTGCAGCAGGAGAAGGAGAAGGACAAGGAGAAGGAAAAGGGGAAGGAGATGACACTACAGATAATAGGGCAATTAATACAAGATCAAAGTAAATGTCTGGAAGACAGGATGGAAAGAATAGAAGAGAGAACAATGAAAACAGATGAGAAAGTTGAGAATATTCACCAAATGATGATAAAATATGAAGAAAGAATGCAAAAAATTGAACAACATGGAGACCAGACGGATAAAAAAGTTGGAGCAATAGACAGTAGATTGACAACAGTGGAACAAGATAAGGGAAAAGGAATGCTGGGCTGGGAGATCAAGAGAAATGAATTCTACCTGAGATTCCAGAAAATGCAAGAAGAAAAGGGAGAAAACTTAACAGGAATAATGGTAGAAATTTGGGCAGGAGCTCTGGAGATACCTGAAGAGAAAATGATGGATGGTATAGATCAATGGTTCCCAAACTTTTTCAGTCCACTGCCCCCTTGATGCTACAAACTCATCCTTGGTGCCCTCCCACCCAGGGATGGGATTCAAATTTCTGTGGGCATGGCCTAATTTGAGGGTGTGGCTTGCTGGTCACATGACTGACTGGGCATGGCTTTCTGGTCATGTGACTGGCTGGGCGTGGCTTGCTGGCTGGGCATGGCTTCATAGTCACATGACCAGGTAGGTGTGGTTTGGTGGTCATGTGACTGGATGGACATGGCCAGGTGACTGGCAAACCAAATACAAGAAGGAGGGAGGGAGGGAGGAGAAAAATAATGAGATATCTATTCTAGTCCAATCACCTGCTCCAGCAGGGATAGAAGGGAGTGTGTGTGTGTGTGTTCTCTTTGTAATTCACCAATACATTTTTGTTTTGCCTACTTCTGAATTGGCACTATAACGCACTGGAGAAAAGTAATTTTTTAGGGTGGAGGTCTAGTCCAATGGATCCTGTTTAAAGCCTCAACAAAATGTGAGAGCTTCCTGATATGTTTGACCGTGTTTCGTCTACAAAACCTTTAATAGAAGCCAAAGATGTTTCAATGTGCTGGCAAGATCCTGGCAAAGATATTTCAATGTGGAAAAGGGCCTGTAAACTAGGCCTCATTTCAATCTGATGCATCAGGTCTCTCTCTCCCCCGCCTCTCTCTCCCTCCCTCCCGCCTCCCTCCTTCCCTCCATCCCACCCTCTTTCTTTGTCTGTCTCTTTTACTTTCTTTCCTTTTTCTCTTTTTTTTCTTTTCTTTTTCTCTCTCTCTTTTCTCTCTCTCTTTCCCTCTCTCAGGCACACCCATTGATTTGGTGTACCGCTCTGCTCGGACTTCCATGGGCAGGTCCCTCCGGTTCAGTGGGCTCAATGGGGTGATCCTGCAGGGCCGGCGCCTGAAAAGTGGCAGAGGTGGCCCATTTTAAAAGTAGCTTTCCTTTACTTTCCCAATGCACCACCATTGCTGTATTTGAGGTGCTGGCCCCACAGGCTCACCCCATTGACTGCTGCACTGCTCTGCTCAACAGAGAATTCCCGGTGGGACCCAAGCAGTGACCAGCCTTTCTCACAGCTACCAGCAAGCCAGGCAGGTGGGGTTGGGAGGAAGCTTGCTAGGCCATGAGTGCTGCATGGAGCCTTAGCTCTGTTGGCTAAGCAAGCTAGGCAAGTGGGGTGTGGGGAAAGAATTGCTAGGATGAGGGCCGACAGCATCGCGATGGTGGTCTAGCTCTGGGAAACAACCATGTATTACATTTATAAAGAAACTGAAAGGAATGTGTTAAACGATGGGAGCTAAACTGCCTCGCTCTGGATATATTTTCAAAATATTAACCAACATAAAGGATTTTGCAAAGGGAAATGCATTACTTACTTTAGTTTCTTAACTGTGCATTCTGGATTATTCAGCCAATCACATGATAGTTCCATTATTTTGTGAAAAACTAAGAGGAATGTATTCTTATAGAAATTGAAAGGAATGTGATTATGTAGGGCAACTGAACTGCATCTCCTGGATATATTTATAGACTATTCACCATCACAAGAAGGGGTTGTGAAGATCAAATTGAATGAAAAAAGAGTCACTTACTGAAGCGTTTCTATTGCACATTCTGGATGTTTCAAACCCTCACATAGCACTTCCATTGCTTTGTCATATGGGTTCTTGAGGGACAAGTATAATACATTCAATCTCTGGTTTTCCCTGAGGACTTCTGCAAGATGCCTGCTGGAGGATTCGGTCAGTATCTTTCCAGAAAGCCTGTGGAGAATAGCAAGAAAAATTACAGTTATTTTGTGAAAAACCAACAGGAATGTATTCTTATAGCAATTGAAAGGAATGTGATTATGTAGGGCAACTGAATTGCCTCTCATGGATATATTTATAGAATATTAACCATCACAAAAAGGGGTTGTGAAGATCAAACGGAATGAAAAAAGAGTCACTTACTGAAGCGTTTTTATTGCACATTCTGAATGTTTCAGACCCTCACATAGCACTTCCATTGCTTTGTCATCTGAGTGCTTGAGGGACAAGTATAATATATTCAATCTCTGGTTTTTCCTGAGGACTTCTCCAAGATGCCTGCTGGAGGATTTGGTCAATATCTCTCCAGAAAGCCTGTGGAGAATAGCAAGAAAAAGTAAAACTACTTCGTGAAAAACTAACAGGAATGTATTCTTATAGCAATTGAAAGGAATGTGATTATGTAGGGCAACTGAACTGCCTCTCCTGGATATATTTATAGAATATCAACCATCACAAAAAGAGGTTGTGAAGATCAAACTGAATGAAAAAAGAGTCACTTACTGAAGCGTTTTTATTGCACATTCTGGATAATTCAGACCCTCACATAGCACTTCCATTGCTTTGTCATCTGGATTCTCGAGGGACAAGACTAATCTGTTCAATCTCTGGTTTTTCCTGAGGACTTCTGCAAGATGCCTGCTGGAGGATTCGGTCAGTATCTCTCCAGAAAGCCTGTGGAGAATAGCAAGAAAAATTACAACTACTTCATGAAAAACTAACAGGAATGTATTCTTATAGCAATTGAAAGGAATGTGATTATGTAGGGCAACTGAACTGCCTCTCATGGATATATTTATAGAATAGTCACCATAACAAAAAGGGGTTGTGAAGATCAAACTGAATGAAAAAAGAGTCACTTACTGAAGCGTTTCTATTGCACATTCTGGATGATTCAGACCCTCACATAGCACTTCCATTGCTTTGTCATCTGGGTTCTTGAGGGACAAGTATAATACATTCAATCTCTGTTTTTTTCTGAGGACTTTTGCAAGATGCCTACTGGAGGATTCGGTCAGTATCTCTCCAGAAAGCCTGTGGAGAAGAGCAAGAAAAATTACAGTTATTTTGTGAAAAACTAACAGGAATGTATTCTTATAGCAATTGAAAGAAATGTGATTATGTAGGGCAAGAGAACTGCTTCTCCTGGATATATTTTAGAACATTAACCATCACAAAAAGGGGTTGGGAAGATCAAACTGATTGAAAAAAGAGTCCCTTACTGAAGTGTTTTTATAGCACATTCTGGATGTTTCAGACCCTCACATAGCACTTCCATTGCTTTGTCATCGGGGTTCTTGAGGGACAAGTATAATACATTCAATCGCTGCTTTTTTCTGAGGACTTCTGCAAGATGCCTGCTGGAGGATTTGGTCAATATCTCTCCAGAAAGCCTGTGGAGAATAGCAAGAAAAAGTAAAACTACTTCGTGAAAAACTAACAGGAATGTATTCTTATAGCAATTGAAAGGAATGTGATTATGTAGGGCAACTGAACTGCCTCTCCTGGATATATTTTAGAACATTAACCATCACAAAAAGGGGTTGTGAAGATCAAACTGAATGAAAAAAGAGTCACTTACTGAAACGTTTTTATTGCACATTCTGGATGATTCAGACCCTCACATAATACTTCCATTGCTTTGTCATCTGGATTCTCGAATGACAAGTATAATACATTCAATCTCGGCTTTTTCCTGAGGACTTCTGCAAGATGCCTGCTGCAGGATTCGGTCAGTATCTCTCCAGAAAGCCTGTGGGGAATACCAACAAATATTACAACTATTTTATGAAAAACTAACAGGAATGTATTCTGATAGCAATTGAAACGAATGTGATAATGTAGGGCAACTGTACTGCCCCTCCTGGATATATTTATAGAATATTAACCATCAGAAAAAGGAGTTGTGAAGATCAAACTGAATGAAGGAAGAGTCACTTACTGAAGTGTTTTTATTGCACATTCTGGATGATTCAGACCCTCACATAGCACTTCCATTGCTTTGTCATCTGGGTTCTTGAGGGACAGGTATAATACATTCAATCTCTGGTTTTTCCTGAGGACTTCTGCAAGATGCCTACTGCAGGATTTGGTCAGTATCTCTCCAGAAAGCCTGTGGAGAATAGCAAGAAAAATTACAATTATTTTGTGAAAAACTAACAGGAATGTATTCTTATAGCAATTGAAAGGAATGTGATTATGTAAGGCAACTGAACTTCCTCTCCTGGATATATTTATAGAATAATAACCATCACAAAAAGGGGTTGTGAAGATCAAACTGAATGAAGAAACAGTCACTTACTGAAGCGTTTTTATTGCACATTCTGGATGATTCAGACCCTCACATAACACTTCCATTGCTTTGTCATCTGGATTCTCGAAGGACAAGTATAATACATTCAATCTCTGGTTTTTCCTGAGGACTTCTGCAAGATGCCTGCTGGAGGATTCGGTCAGTATCTCTCCAGAAAGCCTGTGGAGAATAGCAAGAAAAATTACAATTATTTTGTGGAAAACTAACAGGAATGTATTCTTATAGCAATTGAAAGGAATGTGATTATGTAAGGCAACTGAACTGCCTCTCATGGATATATTTATAGAATATTAACCATCACAAAAAGGGGTTGTGAAGATCAAACGGAATGAAAAAAGAGTCACTTACTGAAGCGTTTTTATTGCACATTCTGGATGTTTCAGACCCTCACATAGTACTTCCATTGCTTTGTCATCTGGGTTCTTGAGGGACAAATATAATCTATTCAATCTCTGATTTTTCCTGTGGACTTCTGCAAGATGCCTGCTGGAGGATTCGGTCAGTATCTCTCCAGAAAGCCTGTGGAGAATACAATGAAAAATTACAATTATTTTGTGAAAAACTAACAGGAATGTACTCTAATAGCAATTGAAAGGAATGTGATTATGTAGGGCAACTGAACTGCCTCTCCTGGATATATTCATAGAATATTAACCATCACAAAAAGGAGTTGTGAAGTTCAAACTGAATGAATAGTCACTTACTCAAGCGTTTCTATTGCACATTCTGGATGTTTCAGACCCTCACATAGCACTTCCATTGCTTTGTCATCTAGATTCCTGAGGGACATGTCTAATCTATTCAATCTCTCGTTTTTTCTGAGGACTTCTGCAAGATGCCTGCTGGAGGATTCAGTCAGTATCTCTCCAGAAAGCCTGTAGAGAATAGCAAGAAAAATTACAAATATTTTGTGAAAAACTAACAGGAATGTATTCAAATAGAAATTGAAAGGAATGTGATTATGTAAGGCAACTGAACTTCCGCTCCTGGATATATCTATAGATTATTAACCATCACAAAAAGGGGTTGTGAAGATCAAACTGAATGAAAAAGAGTCACTCACTGAAGCGTTTTTATTGCACATTCTGGATGATTCAGACCCTCACATAGCACTTCCATTGCTTTATCATCTGGGTACTTGAGGGACAAGTATAATACATTCAATCTCTGGTTTTTTCTGAGGACTTCTGCAAGATGCCTGCTGGAGGATTCGGTCAGTATCTCTCCAAAAAGCCTGTGGAGAATAGCAAGAAAAATTACAATTATTTTGTGAAAAACTAAAAGGAATGTATTCTTATAGCAATTGAAAGGAATGTGATTATGTAGGGCAACTGAACTGCATCTCCTGGATATATTTATAGAATATTAACCATCACAAAAAGGGGTTGTGAAGATCAAACTGAATGAAGAAAGAGTCACTTACTGAAGTGTTTTTATTGCACATTCTGGATGATTCAGACCCTCACATAACACTTCCATTGCTTTGTCATCTGGATTCTCGAAGGACAAGTATAAAACATTCAATCTCTGGTTTTTCCTGAGGACTTCTGCAAGATGCCTGCTGGAGGATTCGGTCAGTATCTCTCCAGAAAGCCTGTAGAGAATAGCAAGAAAAATTACAATTACTTTGTGAAAAACTAACAGGAATGTATTCTTATAGCAATTGAAAGGAATGTGATTATGTAGGGCAACTGAACTGCCTCTCATGGATATATTTATAGAATATTAACCATCACAAAAAGGGGTTGTGAAGATCAAACGGAATGAAAAAAGAGTCACTTACTGAAGCGTTTTTATTGCACATTCTGGATGTTTCAGACCATCACATAGCACTTCCATTGCTTTGTCATCTGGGTTCTTGAGGGACAAGTATAATACATTCAATCTCTGATTTTTCCTGTGGACTTCTGCAAGATGCCTGCTGGAGGATTCGGTCAGTATCTCTCCAGAAAGCCTGTCGAGAATACCATGAAAAATTACAAATATTTTGTGAAGAACTAACAGGAATGTACTCTAATAGCAATTGATAGGAATGTGATTATGTAGGGCAACTGAACTGCCTCTCCTGGATATATTCATAGAATATTAACCATCACAAAAAGGAGTTGTGAAGTTCAAACTGAATGAATAGTCACTTACTCAAGCGTTTCTATTGCACATTCTGGATGTTTCAGACCCTCACATAGCACTTCCATTGCTTTGTCATCTAGATTCCTGAGGGACATGTCTAATCTATTCAATCTCTCGTTTTTTCTGAGGACTTCTGCAAGATGCCTGCTGGAGGATTCGGTCAGTATCTCTCCAGAAAGCCTGTGGAGAATAGCAAGAAAAATTACAAATATTTTGTAAAAAACTAACAGGAATGTATTCAAATAGAAATTGAAAGGAATGTGATTATGTAAGGCAACTGAACTTCCGCTCCTGGATATATTTATAGAATATTAACCATCACAAAAAGGGGTTGTGAAGATCAAACTGAATGAAAAAGAGTCACTCACTGAAGCGTTTTTATTGCACATTCTGGATGATTCAGACCCTCACATAGCACTTCCATTGCTTTATCATCTGGGTTCTTGAGGGACAAGTATAATACGTTCAATCTCTGGCTTTTCCTGAGGACTTCTGCAAGATGCCTGCTAGAGGATTCGGTCAGTATCTTTCCAAAAAGCCTGTGGAGAATAGCAAGAAAAATTACAATTATTTTGTGAAAA